AGAGGCACATTAAAAAGCATGGAAAAAATATTGAGTTATGTCGATATAAAAAGAAGAAGAAGATATTGCTTTCGAAAAGCATTGTTATACATGCGGAAGATACACTAATTTTTGGGTAAATCTTTGAATGATGTTATGGCATACTACTTCTGAAATCAGTTTCTAACAGTCCCGACTTATCCCCGATAGAGACTTTGTGGCGCGAAATGGAAAAAGCTTTGAGAAAACGTCCTGTCCGGTCCGTCAACAAATTGAAGAAAACTTGCAAGAAATATGGAATTCGTTTACATTAGAGTTTTGTCAGAAACTTGATAGAAACTATGCCTCAAAGAAATAAGGATGTCATTAAAAATAAAGGGGATGTAACTCAGTAGTAAACTTTCACATTTTTTTTTGTTAATATTACATTTTTATGCAATTTTTTAAAATTTATTAATATTCCGTTTAGAGAGCTAATTTGCATTAACAATCCAGTTCCAATTGTGGAATAAACAATCGATACACTAAAAAAAAATTATATAAAATTCGTGAATTGAATGTACTTAAACCAAACTTTCTGGCGCAACAATGTAAAATTCTAGTGTCAGTAATTATTGACCTTTTAACATATTTAAAATCATAATAATAATTGTTTATTAATTGCGATTTTTAATATTAGATAGTAGTTAGATATTGCAAAATATAAACGCAAGTTATTTGTTTAAAACATGTTTAATGTAAGTACGATTTTATTAAACAACACATTTTCTACGTTTTCACCGTTATACATTAATAGCGTATGTACATATATTAGAGCAATTATCACAACATAGAGCAGGATAATTAAAATTTTCCGAAGACTCTCACTGATACATGTATCTACATTTATCACTCACGAGTTATTCTAAGTAGATTAAGTTATGACAATATATGATACATAACACATGCAAGAAATTATCTGTAATTTTTCACTATTAAACAATATTTATAAACAAATTAGGTTTCTAATAATTTTCCAGAATCTTTTAGATTGACAAAATTAAGTGGTGTTGTAAATTTGGTCTGTTCTTCCGTTTCTGGTCTAACATCAAACTGAATACCAGTCAACGACACTACCGTTGGAAGAAAGAATAGTGCTATTTTGGGTGCTTTAGGAGGTTCTTTAGATTTATTTCTTTGCTTGATTACATCAAGGTTGTGAAGATTTTGCCATCTAGATGTGGAAAGACCAGATAACGTAATGAATTCCTTGTTTACTAGCTCAGGTGAAACAAATTTAACTACATTTTCTTCAATGTCTTCAATCCCGTCCGCATTCCGAAAGCAATATAAACGGAGGATTATCGCTAGCTGGGATACTTTTTAATGTAATTCTTGTGTAAAGGATCTTAGTTGGTCCAAAGAAATATGCCTAAATAATCTACGTGGTCTGTAAGCAAGCACTCCCCAGTTGTAGACAATCTAAATAAATACATGCAGCATCGGTAGCAAATTCATCCACCAGTTAACTGGTATATCCCATGTTCGTACGAAACAATACATGGAGACAGTGATGAGAGATCGTGAGCTGGACTAAAAGTGGCGTCGGTTAATTGTACTGTATGACCAGTGAATTTTCGCACTACACGTTTCTTGTCAATGTCCATTATATTCAGCGAATAAATCCCCATACGCATTGCCAACATATAGCTTTCCGATGAGATCTAAAGAAACCGATTTGTTTCCTCTAGGAGATAACTGTCAATGGAGGGGAATCTTTATTTTTAAACCTCCAAAACTTCACTTCGTTTCCCCCTCCTACATCAAATTGCTTTAGTGTATGACTTGAAATTTTATCGGCTGGGATAATTCTGAGCATTAGGATTTTCATACGAGTCCCTCAAATTCCTGACTGCATTTAAAATCAATCTACATGTTCTGTGCTGTAACCAACAATGACGAAATTCCCACAATCCGACAAACACAAGGAACTTGCTACCCCTTCCAGTTGATATCTTTATTCTTTTTCTGAAACCATTCTGGTAGTAGTTTCAGTTAGCTTATTCTAATTTTATCATAGGACCAAGTGGTCACCAAAGAATAATTCGAATATATAGCTGCAATACTATCCAATTCTTTTCTCTCGTAGTCTCGAAAGTGAACTAAATTATCGAAAGCATTTTTAGGGGATCTTTTACAGCTCTTCTTTGTGTCTTGCTGATCTTCCTATTGTAAGAAGCCTTTGTCAGACTTTTTTGAACTGCTTAATTTGGGTATTGAATATTCTCAAGAGTTGAATCTCCGCACCAGCTCAAAATGTTGTGACCGTTAGCACCATGGAATATAAGTGTGAGATGATGCAGATAAACTGACCTCTGATTCTCTGTATTGTTGCTTCAACATTAGTCATATTAAAAATCCACAGCTTCAGCGTATTATCTGAAGAGGAAGTAATACCTCAGGGTTTATTGGAAAGACACACCATTCCTGTGACAGCTCGATCATGAGCAGCTAGTAGCTGCGTAAACACTTTGCTTTCCTCTAAATCTCAAAATACAAATTGTACACATGTACTTCCAGTGGTCATAAAGGGGTTAATTTTCTTTCTGAATGATATGAAGTAACTGTGAACCAGTCTTGGCGAATTCATAATATTTTTTATCATATTTTAAATTATGAAGAAATATTCTACCAGTTACTTAACCTATGCCACGACATCAATGGCAGGTGCTTTGTAAGACAACTTACACCAGCTTTCCAACTACTAAATGTATATATTATTTTTGCATTATTGATATTCCATAACTGCATCTCGCATGTATCACTAGCTAGCAATATTTTGTTGATGTACCTATGTACTAGGATAAAACATTGCACTTATATTAAAACTTTCTAAACTACATAAACGTTCCAAAAATATAGCTTCAGTTTTAATATCCCATAATTTTACAATATTACTCATCGTATCCGTTTCGGATGTTGGTGACCATCATGACAATCTGTATTTTGCAAACTTCGGCTCTGAAAAGATTTGTGGTCGTTGTGTTTACCCACGTAGATTTTTAGCCAGGAAATTCTTCGCCTTTCTAGTCCTTGTTCTCCTTTTACTTTTTCTTGAAGAATTAATTGCAGCAACCCATATCTTTCGCTGTTCCTCATAATGTGACCAAGGTATTCCATTTTGGCTGTTTTTGTTGTGGTTAACAACTCTTCTCCTTTTTGCATTCTTAATAAAACGTCTTGGTTAGTAACGTGGTTGGTATATGATATCTTCAGGATTCTAAAATAAAGCCACATTTCGAAAGCATCAATTTTCTTACAGGTAGATAGCGTCTGTAAGAGTCCACGACTCAATCCACCCAAACGCTCCAAGAATAAAGCCAATGAGGCCTTCGTTTGTATTTATATTATTACGACCGGCTTATTACCACCTATAATAATTTTTTCTGTTTCAGATCCTAATTTGTTTATATATTGTTTATAAGTAAAAATTAACAGAAAATCTTTTGCATATTTTATCATATATTATTATACTTAACTCCTAGATATTACTTGTATCAATGAGTGTCCTAGAAAGGGAGTTTTTGGTCAAATCAGTTTTTAGTCAAATAGGTTATGATTCGTTGTGTTATTGTTGGCATTGAACTGTTGTTTTCTTGAGTAATTCACGGTGGTTATTAATAATTTGAAAGTTAAAAATAATGTGTTTTTTAATACAGAAAGTGTCAATGATCCTTTTGACTGCAGCCATACATCTAGTGACGAAGATAAATGTGTTTTTATACCATATTGACAACTTCTGATAAGCTTAGACTGATATAGCACAGATACCCTGAACCCGGACATACTTTCCTTCCCTGTGACAAAAGCTTTTGAGCAATAGAAAGACAAAAACGGAAACATGACAAGATAAATTTACCTAAGGATTCTCAAAAATGATTGAAAGTAGTAACAAAAATTTTCAAGTTATTAATGTGACTCAAGATATGTTTCTGAACTTTAAGTCCCATTTGTAACAATTTTTTATAGAAAATCCTTCACGGAAGAAGAACCAATTTACCATCTCAAAATATCATGTCATGCGATATGAAAAATTAGATAGTAAAATAAGGTTTACATAAATTGCAGCCACTGACCTTACCAAACCATGATCATAAGTTGTACACTGAAATGGGAAAGTTGAAAAAGAACACATTCGAGCATGTTATGTCTTTGGCAACAAACTGTTTGCCCCATGTGATCAATGGTTTTATGAAGCAATCCGAAATTACCATCAGAGCGTCTCACCAAACAATAAGGAAACTTCTGTATCAGAATTCAGTGACAATGAGTAAAGAAAAATGTATCAATTCTGCACTAACATTTAGTTGAAACTATGTTTTCATTTAGTATTTAATAAATTACTAGAAAATAATTTTTTGCGTATAAAATTATTTTGTTTTATTGTTCCCACAAAAAAAGATGAATACTTTGCATAAATCAGTCAAGTGTCAGTCCAATTTTTTCCCCATAATTTTTTTACTTATAACTTATTATTTAAAAAAAAGTGTTAACAAGAAGATGTGTCAACTGACACAAAATACAAAATTTATCAGGATTTCACAGTTTTATCTCAAAAATGTTTTTTACTTCTCCAGAACATTTGTTTTATGTGACTTGACTGGTTTGTGCATTGGAGCCTTCAAATATAAGCGATAGTTTAGAAAAATCTATCTATACTAAAATAATATAAAAATATAACTATTTAAGATCATAAAAACAATAGTAAAAGAAGAAGAAGAAAGGGGTTCTTAATACACTGGTAGCAAACAAAGAGATTGTCTAAACGCATACTATTAGTTACAGAAACTTCACAAAAAAATTGCAGATCTCTTGCTTTTATCAATTTAGAATTTATTTGTCCAAAAGAAGTGTAAGAAAATTAATCATCCAAAAATTTTCGATATAAGACTAAACAATTCAAAATGTAAATGACCTTTACAAGACCTCATTATCTGACATGATTATATTAAGCAAAACTAAATATAGAATTAGCTATTTACCTGCACATGCGGCTATATACAAGAAAGTACGATTTGGAGAGCTGGAAGTCATATTGACACGTTAACACCCTAGAGCTTAAACTGAAGATAGTTTGATAGGCCAACACTCACACTACTTTTTGGTTCCCCTCTACCAACTCGACTGCTTCTCGTCTTGTTTGGCTTTTATTTTATTTCCAGAAAGTATTATCTTAATGGTCAAATTCGCTGATTATATCGTATGATGCAAAGTTGCTTTAATTTTTTTTGTCTGGCTTTATTATTTTGGAAATTACAATAAATTTAAATACAACGGAATATCCAAAGTTTTTCAAATCTAATGATACATTTGCAGGTTTTTGCTATACTGTGTGGTCCGATAATAATTATGTTGGCAAAATGTTTGTTTACTAGAATTATTATAAAATAAACAATTTCACGTTACAGCTTGCCAACCTTTGGTGTATTGTATGACAGAATAATTAGAATTCAAAAGGAAAATGAATTTCCTGTGGTATACCATAAATCACAAAAAATTTATTAAAAAATCCTTTATAAAGGGTATATTTATTTAAAAGAACTCTTTTTTACATCACAAAACGTTTTCAGAATTATTATTCCATCATCAATGCTACTACTAATTATACATGTGTAAAGCCAGTAAATATACGGGTAAAAACTCTTTAAATGTTGTTAAATCAGTTAAATGTTGGTGAAGAGGCTGAGAGGTTAAATATTGCAATGACATATTCACTGATATTTGTAAAAATCTTATAAAATCGACCTTTTGTATAACATGTAATTTATTCTATGAGACTCTAGTACAGGGGTGCTCAAACGTCGATCGCGATCGACTGGTCGATCGCGAGTGCTTTTTGGGTAGATCTCGAGAAGATAAAAAAATTTAATAAGTAGGTATAATAGTGCTGTCCATAGAAATGCTTCATCTAAGCTCTATCATTGCAATTCAAAGCATGGGGACAACAAAATACTGTCCACACATATTTATATTTACATATATTAACTAATTATTTTATTAATTCCATATTTATTAATTATTAATCAAATTTGGGATGATATTCTATCAACTACAAAAATGTATTACTAATAAAATAACACTTCTTGCGGCAAAAGATGGCTTTATCAAAGGAATGCGCGGCATTGTCAAAAGAAAAGCCGTGTTGTTCTCGAGCGAGAGCCAGTATAGTCTAGTTTCGGGCGGTGCGTATTGACGGGCCGCCCGAAAACATCGAGATTTCTTTAACGCCGATATAAATGTTGCGCTTGCAGGAAATGGAGTTATTCTGAATGTAACTTGATAGCGATCCTACGTCGATACAAAGTTTATTATTAAATAGTGGAAAATGAGTGCAGTGAAGAAATCTAAAACGTATTTTTAATAAGGATTGGGAGTAAGAACTTTTTTTTTCTATGGTGAAGGATAAGTGCATTGTGTTATTTGTCGTGCGTCAGTTGCAATACCAAAGCGTGGTAACTTAGAGAGGCATCATAAAACGGTTCATAAAAACTATGAAAGGATTTTCCGCCACAGTAGTGAATTAAGAAAAACGAAAGTAAGTGATTTGATATCTTGTTTGAAAAAAGAACAATCCATGTTTACAAGACCAGCCAAACCATACCAAAAGCTGTTACGATCGCGTCATTTAAAATATCATCATATTTGGCGCAACATAAGAAACCTTTTGAAGATGGATCGGTGGTGAAGGAAGCATTTATTGAAAGCGGGTGAGACTTTATTTGGAGATTTTAAAAAATAATACAGAAATCATGTCTGCAATTAAGAACTCATTTATCTCGTCCGATTGTCACAAGGCGTATTGAAGTCATGAGTCAAGACATCGCAGATAAACTAAAACATGATATTATAAAATGTACATACTTTTCTTTACAGTTCGACGAACCCATCGATAACAGACACTGCCCAGCTGTGTATTTTAATTCGGATGGTATTCAATGACATGTTGGCTAAGGAAGAATTTTGACAATCATTCTCTGAAAGGGAAGACCCGTGCGAAGATAAATATGACGTTTTCTTAAATTTTGTAAAAAACTACGAGCTACCAATATATAAATTAATGTGCATTACAACGATGGAGCACCAGCAATGACTGGAAACAAAAACACGGAGGAATTATGGGCAATTGCAACAAAATTGTGAATTCCATCCGTGCACGTAGCGTGCAACGGCGGCTCTTTCAGTTGCAGTTGGAAATATGGAGTCAGCTGAACACACTGATTTAGTTCTTCACACGGACGTCAGGTGTTGAGTCGGGAAAATTCCGGAAAATCCCCGAAAGGTTTCAACGATGACTTTGAAACAACCGTTTGATTTAACAACAGCTTAAACGTAACTTGGAGCTTCAAGGTAAAGGAAAAAGTATTATTGAGATGATTAGCGCAGTAAAACGCATTCAGAAGTAAAATGCAACTTATGATAGAATCACTGAAAAGAAAAGATCTGAAACATTTTCCGTCTTTGAAAGCAAGGATTCTCAGTTGGAATTATGATACGTATAGGCTGAATTATCAAATATTTTGGGACAATTCGAAATGCGTTTTTAATGATTGCAGTAAATTGGAAAAATATAGCATCATTTATGAGTTATCCTTTTCATGTAAAAACATTGAGGAATTAGCTACTGAAATAGCAAGTCAGGTTTAATATGAACTCCATGTTCTGATGAAAATGAGTAGGTGCAGATTATATCAGATATAACATCTCAAAGCTACAGTAATCTGATACACATTTCTGGCGTTTATTTATCTGAAGATAAATATCCGAATGTAAGGCAACTCGCCCTTCAATCGGACGGCAATTTTTAGGGTCAACTTAACTTGTGCGAGTCTGCATTTTCTGAAATGAAAGATAATAAAGTCAAAATATCGCAATCGACTAACTGACGATCATATGACATCATGCTTGCGAATTAGCACACAGTGGTTACGTACCATCTTATGAAAAAGTATGCGTGAAGGACATGCAGTGCCACGCTTCAACATCCAAAGCACTCCTTAGTTAAGTTTAACACCACAATGTAACTCTTTTATTATGTAACAACAAATAAACTCGCAATTTTGAATAACTATGAGTTTTTTCATTGATATTGTAGAAGAAGAACCTAACTAAACCTAACCCAAACCTTGACTAAAATACTGTACCTATATTGTGCAGAAAGCTAATATCTATATATAGCTACGGTACGTCCCTACCTAGGTAGGTAGGGTGTAATCTGTGTATGTACGACAACCCTGCATCACACACACTTGCAGTCTCTCAGAGTCGATCGTAAGTAGTCTAAAAATATTGAGAATAGACCGCCAGCAGTTCAAGTTTGAGCACCCCTGCGTAGTACATTATTAAATAGTCCAGGAAATAGTCAATCAACCTTGTCTGTCCACTTCTTAGTTCTGGCCGATCATCTTTTTAGGCAGCGACGGAAGATAGGTTTTTCCAGCTCTGCAGATGAAGAAGTAATAATTCACTGTTCTTGAAAAGGATTATTTCTTTCGCGACTTAAGCAACAGACGGCTAATTTAAACGTTAATCTAGGTTTCCCAAAACCATTGCCTTTCTTTTGTAAAGCTAACTTTTCTGTGTGTTAATTGCATATAATTTGTCTCAAAGCGATTAACGTGCACCATATGGTAGCACCATAAGTTCTCGTAGCTTGAAAAAGAAGAAGATAGAAGAAGAAGAACTTCCATTGTTGAATTAACGGATTAATACCTCTATGAAAGGTTGTCACTCATGTATTTTGTGTATGGGGTGTATTTTGCGCGGTCGTTCGTTACTTCTTCTGCCTATTGGTGACTTATCTCTTGCTATTTTGAAGACTCGGAATCCCCCATTCTGCTTATGTAGCTATTCCATTTTTTTTTTCTATTTAGTGTCCATTTATTTATACACTGTACGTTACATTTTCTTCTGTCTTTCACTTGTCTTTCGATATCGCAGCGTATTTCTTGTAATTGTTTTTAGTACTCTAATATCTGCTGTTTCCAGTAGCCTTTGTATCGTGGCTGTATCAGATCTTGTTTCTGAGGCTTATATTATTGGTCTTACACTGGTTTTATAAATTCTTGAGCTCATCTCAGTATTAATGTGCATGTTTCGCCATATAGCGTTAATAAGTCTATTTGCTTTTTTACCTTGATCTCTGACTTCTTTGTACAGTTCTCCATAGCTGGACAGTGTAATTCTAAGGTATTTGATTTCCATTACTTGTTCAACATTGATGCCAACAATTTCTATTTTACATTTGGTTGTTACTTTGCTGATTACCATTACTGGAATCTACTCGAATCAAAGAGCACAAATCGTAATAGATAACGAACCCAGTTCAGAAATTGAAATCAGGAGAGGAGTTAGGCAGAGATGTATTATGTCTCCATTACTATTTAATGTATATAGTGAAGCCATTTTTGAAGAAGCATTACTATCTCAAAGTGAAGGAATAATAATTAAAGGAAGATCTATTAACAACATCAGATATGCAGATGACACCGTGATTATGGCAAGCTCTGCTGAACAACTCCAATTACTGCTAAACAAAACAAACAGTGTCTGTGAAAAATATGGACTAAAAAAGAATATAAAAAAGACCAAATACATGATAGTAACAAAGAAAACAAATATACCAACAAACATACATTTGGGAAATGTACCGATAGAAAGGGTTGATAAATACAAATACGTGGGAACCTGGATTTCAGACAATAATGATCAAACAATCGAAATAAGAGTTAGGATAGAAATAGCAAGAAAATGCGTTTGTAAAAATGAAAACAATTCTCTGCAACAAAGATCTTAGATTAGAACTGAGATTAAGAGCACTGAGATGCTACGTGTTTTCGATACTGTATATATTTGAGACTGGACATTGAAGCAAGAACAATAAAACGTTACATCCTTTGAAATGCGGTGTTACAGGAGGATGCTTAGAATAGCATGGATACAGAAGAAAACTTAACACGGAAGTATTGCAAGAAATGGGCAAAGAATGCGAAAATATTAAACACAAGAAAAATAAGAAAGTTACAATATCTGGGACA